GKGKWRGGTAGGGCGAGGTGGAGGGGTGGTAGATGTGATGATAATAGCGGTGAGATAGTGGTCGGGTGGCTGGGGCCTGGGAGTGTGTGGGTATTATGACAACAATAGTGGCATGGTGTTTAGTGGTGGGTTGGGGTAGGATAGGGTGCGGGTGAGTGGTGGTTGTGAAGGCGACAATAGTATTGTGGGGGATAGGGGTGGGTGGGTGGGWGGGTGGGGATGACAGAAGTGGTGTGGTGGTGGGGGTCAGAGGTGGGGCATGACGAACAATAGTAGCATAGTCGTGGTGGGTGGTGATGAAATTCAATTCCTTCTATTATGCCAAGTAATGATGAATTCATTCATTTGTAGAATTGAATGGAATTTGAAGGATTCCGTCGATTTTAAGAAATGAACCAGACAAAGAAATTGAAATTTGGTCAAAGAAATTTGTAATTTCAATTCCGTCAAATTCTTCCGAAATCCGCGAACCAAACGACCCTTTATTTCAGGACAAATTCAAATAGAAATGTGAACAACTATTTTGATACGAACAAAGTAAATTGTAGTTTGTTCGATTCATATTTAAAGAAAATAAATTTCAAAAAGTTTCATTTTGGGAAACGTATAATGTCTTTGATGCTATTAAAGTAACACATTACACCTGTAATATAATTGAAAGAACATATTATAACTTTTAATAAAAAAAGAAATGTAATATAACTTTGTAAACAGAAAAATATTATCGAAAAAAGTTATTAAACTTCTTTCGTTAGGATATCTTATTGTAGACACAAAAATAGAGCATTTAAAAGTAAGTTCTTCATATAGGTTTCGGAACAAAGTACGTTATTATTTGATGTAACTTTTCATTTTATAACATAGTTAAAAGAATAAATAATGTCATTGTCGTTTCTAACCAGGTCTAACTGAAAACAACTAATAATAATAATGATAGTAATAATGAAATCGGAGACCATGCTAGAGATGAAATTTTGTTCGTTGGGGCGGGGATTCCCCGGTTAGATGGGTAATGGGGCGGGGATGGGGATTTCTTTTCATACCCGAAACAGGATGGGGGCAGGGTCGGGGATGACATTACCCGCCCCTAATACGGACAAAATTAGTTTATTTTTTTTATTTAATATATGTATATGATGTGTATAATAAATAAATATATATGTATATATTTATTATTAAATGACAAATATATTTTGATTTTCAATATTAGTAATTAATATATTGATAATTCATTATAACTTATATTTTAAAAATAGAGCATTTTTTACTAAACGGGTTCTTTGGGGGATTCCTTCTCCTAAACCCGTCAGAGATTAATAGGGACGGGATTGAGGGAATTAAACGTGGGTCAGGAACGGGGAAAGTATTACCCACTCAATACTCACCCCGTTTCCCATATTGATTAAACATGTTCAGTCACATATATTCAAAGGATACCAACTTGAGATTTTTTTTTCAAGTTTTAAAAAACTAATAAATAAATAAATAATCGGTTCGGTTTGGTTTGGTTTGGTTTGGTTTCGTTTCAAAACTAAACCTATTTTGTATATAGTTAAAATGTTGTGATCATATCAATTATGTTATTATTAATCAACTTAATTGAAGACATTTATCAATAACGGTTGAAATGATTAAATTCTTTTTTATCTTATTTTCTCATGTTTTAAATAGCATTTATGTGAATTAACTTGACTAAAATTGAACAAAGATAATCTAATAGATTTATTTATAAATGTAAAATTACAAATCTTTATTTTCGGAAAGGCACGATATTAAAAAAGAACAAACAAATACAACAGTCTTATAAAGGAAATCGTGAGGAAGAGATACCAAAGAAGGAAATAATCTAACACTACAAGAAACAAACAACAAAGTCCAAAAGAGAGGACCAACGAGGAAAACAACAACTGAATCTCAAGAAGCAGGAAAAGAAGGGGCCTAAACCAAGTCGTCTTCGAAATAGACTGATTTGAGTTTGGAAGCAATCCAGTCGAAATATTTAAATTGGATGTCACCGAAAAGATCACTGCGAGAATTTATCCCCTTATAGGTATAGCTATTCTTGAGTTTCCAAAGAGAACAAGTTGCAATCCAAGAATTATTTGCTACACACCTTTCATTGATCCCACGATTTTTTTCTCATCATTGTAAATCAATAATTCGGAGATGGAAGAAGGTTGAAAAAAGTTTCTACTTCACCATTTACAGATGCAACTCCATAACGATGAGGTGACCTTGCAACCAAGTAGACAATGATCCATCGATTCAACATGATCTCTACAAATGGGTAAAGCATTAGACTGATTCACCTTTTATTGAGCTCCTAAAGAACTTTATTTGTTACGAAGTGCCCTCCAAACAAAAACGTCATTTTCCTAAGAACTAGTTTATTCCATAACATGGCTTTATCATCAAGAGAAGTGATGCGGGAACTTTGAAATAATCAGCAACTTGCACAATTAACTAGAGATAGACGAATTCTCAAAAGAATTTCTAATCAAGTTTTTAATGTCAAAAAGAGCCACTCAAATAATAGCATAACCTGGGATTAAATATACGAAGCTTACGTCTCTTTAGGAAAGGATAGGGAATCCTACTAAAGATAACAATTAATAAAAGAAAATAAATAATGAAAAAGTCCAAATAAAATCTAGAAAATGAAGGCTGAAAAATAAAAGCAATCTTGTAAACTAGGAAAGTGTAGAATCATGATCTTGGTTCTGATTTCCTTTGTTGATCTCAGATTTCTCAATCTATGATCTAATATGAGATTTTATGAGCGTAAGCAATATCAAGGGTAAATTGATGAAGAAAATGAACTATAAAAATACTCAAGAACACCAAGTTTCCATCATCATCATTATGTTTTTGTATTTGATAAGCTTTGATTACAAGGAATATCTTCAAAGAAGAATAGAGTAATCTTGCTATCAAAAAAACTTCTACCTAGAAATATAAAAGAGGACTGATATTTAAACACACTAGAAGGATAAAGTCAAAGCTTGGACCAATGAGAGTAATCCATGTGTAAAGTGGAATAACTGCTTCTAGGTGGCATGTCGAATCTGAATCTTCCACATGGCATTCTGTTAGAGATCATGCTGAATGGACAATAGCAACAACTTGTACAAGTCTTCAAAGGTTGAAGCCAGAAGTAGGTCCAGAGG